CAAATGGCACCCTATTCCCTATAAAGTGCACTACATTTGACCAGAACCTTATGGGCCCCAATCAAAGGTAGTGCACTAAATAGGTAATAGAGTGCCATTTGGGACACACTCCATCTCATGTTCCGAGGGTGGTAACTGCAAATACTTAGACTCATAAAAACAAGCCCAGGAGGACAGAGATTGAATGAATATAGATGAGCAAAACTTGTTTCCCAAACACACACATGCGTGCGAGGGAGGTGTGAAGCAAAAAAAAGCCTTGGGAGGAAATTGGCTTCCAATTCAATTTCACTCTGTTCAAAAACAGCACTAGGAGACAACAGCATTTTAATTTACTTCCATCCTTTGTTAATGTTCTCAAAAAGTTCATATTTGAAGAAATGAAACAAACGAACAGCAGCACCAAAAGGTATTGGGTTATTTTGGGTTGGATATAATGAACATGAATTGGCACTTTTCTGCATTAGGAAGTGTATTGTTGTGGAACAGGTGGGAGGCACAGAATATGTGACCTCTCTCTCTCTCTCCCTCCCTCCCCCTCTCTCTCTCTCTCTCTCCCTCCCTCCCCCTCTCTCTCCCCCTCCCCTCTCTCTCCCTCCCTCCCCCTCTCTCTCTCTCCCGGGTCCAGGCTCTGATTTAGACAAATGGGAAACTTGGCTATTGAGCACGGAGCAGAAGTAGAGTGATACTCCCATTGGTATCTGTTTTAATCCATATCCCACTCTAAACACTTACAGCTGCAGAAGGCATTGATTAGGCCCAGATAGTGAGAGAGAGAGAGAACGAGAGAGAGAGACAGACAGACAGACAGACAGACAGACAGACAGACAGACAGACAGACAGACAGAGATGGGGAGAGAGCAGAGAGAGACAGCAGAGAGAGAGAGAGAGATGGAGACAGCAGAGAGAGAGAGAGATAGACAGACAGACAGACAGAGATGGGGAGAGTGATGGGGAGAGAGCAGAGAGAGACAGCAGAGAGAGACAGCAGAGAGACAGCAGAGAGAGAGATGGAGACAGCAAAGAGAGAGAGAGAGAGAGAGAGAGGAGAGAGAGAGAGAGAGAGAGCAGAGAGAGAGAGATAGAGAGAGACAGCAGAGCGAGAGAGAGAGAGAGAGAGAGAGAGAGAGAGAGAGAGAGAGCGACAGGAGAGAGAGCAGAGGGAGAGTTGGAGAGTTGTGGGTTAAGCAACAACACCATTGGAGAGAACAGTCCTATTCATTCTACTGGCTCTTTTTCTTACAGTGATTCTTTTAAATTATCTTTCTGTTTCTGGGAAATGGAAAGTTAAGTTTCCTGGGTAACCTAACCACCCAGACACTTCCTGCCCTCAACACCCACCTCACACTGTTGTGACCTTACAGCAAACACTCAGTAATACATACACACGCACAACCACGCATGCACACACACACATTCACCCACAACAACTGTCACATTATCTCAACTGACAGGTGTAGCAAGATGGAGAGCTCGCAGACAGGGCACACTGACTGATTCCTCTACGTGAGTGCTTCCTGACAACACCGCTGCTATCCCGTCTGCTAATAAGTCACTAATCAGTCTGTGTATATAATGTAGGCTACACAGTAAAGAGACAATAGGTTGTATATGGGTATAAGACAGTGTGGCTTCTTCTCAATTGTCTTTCTTTGATTCCTTATGTCCTCTCCTCCTATTCTCTCCCCACATCTTTCTCAAAAAGTACTTAGACTCTATGCACTCTTTCCAAGTGTCAGCAGTGACAGTAACTCTGATTGTGAATTTGAGCATTTTGTAAAATCGGGCAATTCCACGGTAACAGAATCACAGTATGACCCAAAACAAATTCACTTTAAAATGTATGCCAAACATAAACCATTGATTTCAAAGTTTAACAAACCATACAACTCTATGCACAAGGACTACTTAGAAGAAATTACATAGAAACGTTCACAAAAACACATTTACTGGTAACAGAATTACAGTACATTCTCCCTCAGTTTTTTATGCGACCACGTTTACCAAAAACTCTATCAGAATTATAATTCAAGGGCCTCCCGTGTGGCCCAGCGGTCTAAGGCACTGCATCGCAGCGTTGCAGCGTCACTATAGCCTGGGGTTCGATCATTACCGGCCGTGACCGGGAGTCCCATAGGGCGGCGCACAATTGGCCCAGCGTAGTCCGGGTTAGGGGAGGGTTTGGCCGGGGGGGGGGCTCTACTTGGCTCATTGCGCTCTAGTGACTCCTTGTGGCAGGCCGGGCGCCTGCAGGCTGACTTCGGTCGTCAGTTGAACAGTGTTTCCTCCGACACATTGGTGCAGCTGGCTTCAGGGTTAAGCGAGCGGGTGTTAAGAAGCTTGGTTAGGCGGGTCATGTTTCGGAGGACGCATGACTCGACCTTCACCTCTCCCGAGCCTGTTGGGGAGTTGCAGCGATGAGACAAGATCGTAATCACGAAATTGGGGAGAAAAAGGGGGTAAAAACATTTTAAAAATCAAAGATGTCTGCAGAAAGAATGGGGCGTCAGCTATGACATGACACCTTGAGTTTGAAAACAATTATTTTGGTTATTGAACTACAGTAGGTGAAGTTGATTTACATCTGGTTAACGGAATTACGGTAACGGAATTACATCATGGGTCCCTGATCTGTACTATACATAAATGCATAATAATGGATATGAATATCATTCTCTTCATGGTGATGTATCCTGTATAGGTACACAAATGTAGGAATATGCAATATCCTTATTTAGCATATTTGGGTATTATTCTACACACTGGCTATTATTGTTTCGAGCTCCGCCCCCAAACAAGACCAACTTTGGTTGGTCCGGACCAGCCAAAATCTGAACCAATCATAGATGTCTATATTTCACAAGTTTGGACATCATAGTACAGCACAGTAGAGCTGTAAAGTAGATATGTTCAGTGCAGTAGAGTACAGTACATTATACTGTACTCTACTTTAGTGTGCTCTACTGTACTCTACTGTTCTTCACTATACAGTACTGTACTATTCTGTCCAAACTTGTGAAACAGACGTCTATGATTGGTTCAGATTTGGTCTGGCCAAGGCGAACTGACCAAATTTCAACAACTTTTCAATGTCCATGGACGTCCGGTGTCATTCGGTGCTCAGTGGGTGAGGATGCTTGTTACAGTAAATGGAAAGAGGGTAGGTGGTAGGTATCATGTTAGGTTTCAGTAAGAGCCGGGAGAGGTGACATTAACTGGAGAGAGAAGCGAGAGAGCAGCAGAGAGAGAGAGGGAAAGAGAGTGAGAGGGAAGGGTTGTCCAGACTGCTTTAACAGTCTTGCTTTGAACACCAGACGACAGAAAGATAAAAATAAATGTGTTATGAGCTGAATATAACAGTATGCCAGTGGAAGGGAAGACTGTGGCAGGTGACCCAACTGAGGTTTGTGACTACTATGATTTCCCATTTTAGACAATTCAATTGCAGTAATTCCGATCTGGTAACAGATTTACGAGTTTTAATCACTTAATCATTCATAAACAAACTTGATATCAGTTAAAACAATATAACTAATCGGTAGGTCTACCATCTACCTTTACTTCTCTGAACTTTCCTTATCCCTCCTCAGGATGGAGAGAAATGTGAAAATATCTTAAAGATGTAGGTTTTTGGTAACGGAATTACAAGGCAATGTTTCTTAAACTTACAGAAGGCAAATTATTTCTCCAAAACTAAATATAAGTGTTGATATTAGTTGGCAGGGGTCTTTGCTTCAACATTATTGTGTTTTGATGCATTTATAATACCTTAAGACTTTTTCTGGTAGATGTTTGACCAGAAATCAAAGCCTTTGCTTATTTCTAATTTTTAGGATAAGTTGAAATTTTTTTTTATATGCCTCAATTACTCAAAAATATAGACTCTTAGTTTTCATTTGACACCCAATTTGACATGCTCCTTCGAACTTCACTTTGGTCCTCATGGGTCTTTTTAGATGGAAATGCCCAATCATCATGTCGTAGGTTTGTCTCAAACTGTGTCCCACATTCTAGTCCTTCACCCAACTCATAACTTGTTTTCTTCATGTCTGTGTTTCCATGCCTCAGGCTTATTCTCAAGGGAACATTTTACACGCACACACTAAAATGTGTACTGTCCACTAGTAGTAGCACTCTGTCAGGAACACACAAACAAAGATAAACCTTGTCACACTGAGCAGTGATAATTATCAATCTTAAGTCTATATTAACAAGTGAGTTTTCCATTCTAATAAGTGTGCCAGGGGTGTGTGTGTGTGTGTTGCCCAACAGATGATAGCCATGAGTTAATGCAGGGCCTGTGGGCTGTGAGGACATTCAAACTGCAGGCCAGACATTCCCAAATGGCACTCTATTCCATTTATAGTGCACTCGTTTTGACCAGCCTTACTTTTGACCAGGGCCAATAGGCAATAGGGTGCCATTTGAAACACACCCTCTGTAAATCTATCCAATAAGAATCAATAATGGAAGGTGGTTTATAATGGATCACGGCTATTGGCTAATGCACCAAACCTTACATTATTAACAGTGCATGAGATGTGTTGTACTCTACTTTACTGTATAGTGGTGTCAGTACATCAAGCTATACTGTGCAGTCCCACATTGTACGGCAAAATGTGCCAGTTAACCCTCGCAAGCATATTGTAACTACTACTCTCTGTATGATCTTATTGTACATCAGCGACGCTTTCATCCATAGTGATTTAACACCATGTCAGGGCAGCACTGTTCTTGAAGAGGAACCTTTACTAGAATAGTGCTGCGCTCAGCACTTCTGCTCTAAACTTTTATGCTGCCACGAGCAGGTTTCAGAGTCGCCGCCGCCGGGTGGTATTGCATCACCTCTACTGTGTGTGCGTACATGTGTGTGTGTGTTCTTCTAGTTGGAGCGATAGGCTAGTTGAGGCTGATCCTGGACTACATATCGCCCCCAGAGGCGTTGATTCCATGCCACTTTCCTCTGGCCTTTTTTTCCTTTGATTTCATTTCTTTCCTCTCTATATCCCATCTGTCTCATCGGTTTCCTCTCTCACCTTCACCAGTGTCTCTCCTAATGAAAATACAGGAGGGTGGAATACGTAAAGAAGGACTGGTAGGTAGGCTCCTCTACTCACGGTACAGGCTGTAGGTGTGTGTGCTTGCGTGCACGTTTATGTGTGTGTCTTCTACTCACGGTGCAGGCTGAGGGAGATGTTAATGTTCCTGATGTTAGTGACAATCTTCAGTTCTGGGATGGAGGCACACTTCAGATGGGTGTTGGCGGGCGAGTCGCCCACGTCGATCCAGCAAACCGTTTCCTGGGCGTAGTTGAAATCCATGGCAGTGGTCTATTTTTGGACAAAATGGGTTTTATAAAGTGCTTTTCAAAGACCAATATACTTTTTACAATAGTTTCAAATCCCAGAGGATTATTTCCAATGTGGTCATTGATGTAAGACAAAAATGACTTCTTGAACAGATAGTGAGAGAAGATGACAGTTGGGAAACATAGAGAGACCTTGTGTCAAAGGGCACAAGGCTGGATTCAAACTTGTACCGTCACTGTAGATACAGTATGTGTGCCAGAGGCTGCCTAAAGCAGCCAGGCCACAGCCTGCTAACATTCTTCCAGAGAAATGCTCACCTGGTTGGTGCTTATGGCTGGGAGGCGGGTGTGCATGCCGCTCAGAGACGTACAGCGGATGTCATTCAGGTTAGTGATCAGCAGCACCGGCAGCTGCTCCACAGGATCTGAGAGTGGGAGAGAGAGAGAGCGAGAGAGAGCGAGAGAGGGAAGAGAGAGAGAGAAGAGGGGGAGAAGGAAGAGGGGGAGAGAGAGAGAGATAGCGAGAGAGAGAAGATGGTAGAGAGAGAGAGGGGAAGAAAGACGGTTGGGTAGCTAGAGAGGGGGACTCCGCGCGGAGGAGCTGAGAGATCGAGAGAGAGAGAGATATATTTAGAGAGAGAGAGAGAGAGGAGAGAGAGAGAGAGAGAGAGAGAGGGAGGAAGAAATGTCACAGATTCATTGCATATGTCTCACATCTCATCCCTTTAAATTAAATTGTAACAGCATTACAGACTGTCACACCATGCAAATCTGATTCCCCCAATATAACACAGCACTTCAAATACAGACTCAACGAGAAACAAATAAACTGAAATGCAATTATTCGTTTTGGATATTTGAAATAAAGTCTAACTTTGCTCTTTGGTAAGTTTGCACATGTAGACTTCACGTCTGCACAGTATGTTAATATGACCCAGGAGGCTGTGGTGTGCGGTTGTATGCTCTCTGTGTGTGTATGTGTGTCTCACCATTCTTGGCCTTGCAGGAGCGGTTGTCTGGCTGCAGTAGGTAGCCCTCCACACAGCTGCAGGTGTAGGAGCCCTCGTTGTTGGAGCACGTCTGACTGCAGGTCCCGTACACACTGCACTCGTTGAAATCTGAGGAGGCAGGCAGGGCACAGTCAGTCAGCCATTCAGTGAAGCAGTCAGCCAGTCAGTCAGTGAGTCAGCCAGTCAGCCAGTTGACAGTGGGTCAGTCTGTGGACCAGTCAGTTAGCCAGCCAGACAGCCAGTCAGTCAGTCAGTCGACATTTGGTCAGTCTGTGGACCAGTCAGTCAGCCAGTCAGTCGGTCACTGGTCAGGCCTGGGACTGTTTTCATAGGGCTACTGTAACTGTATGATTATGGCCAGGAGTCTGTCTCACCTTTGCATGTCTTTCCGTCCTCGCTGACTTCATAGCCGATGTTGCAGTAACACTTGGGCCCTTGGTGCGTCACGGAACAGTTTCCAGCGCAGCCATGGGTGGCACAGTCTGGTCCAAGCTCTACCAAAGAGAGAGAGAAACAGGGGGTCACAATGAGATCAAACACATGGAAGGAAACCTGGATGGAAGAAAACAGCATGGTGCACACATACACATGTCTTCAGCCTGCTGGAGTCTTCAGCATGCTGCCTGACAACAATCTCAAACTTCTCAGATCAAAAGGCAGGTATGAGAGATGTGACCACATAGCACGCTGTCGGTCTTTCGGTGTGTCTGAGAGAAGACTGCAGTGCACCAACAAAGAGCTGCCAAGAAACCCCGATAACCACACACACGCAATGCAAGGAAGTGAGATGAACACTCTACGAGTCATCACAAAGCTTTGCAGAGCATGGAATCCTACTGGCATGAACAATAACCCCATTTCCTAGATAAGTAAACATACTGCACCAAAGCAGACTACACAATCTCATGCAGTAGATTGAATAGAACAGCATCACAATGGGAGGACAGTATCACACAGGGAGTGGGATCTTCTCAGTCAGCGCTCAACAATGGTCTGAACGAGAGTGATGGGACGTCCACACCACAGCCCTGTCCAGCCATGCTGAGGGGACAGCCAGAGCTGAAAGGGGACCATTAGTGGCATGGCGGACCGTTGGGGCTGGCCAGAGGAGAGAGCGGAGCAAAACGGGGTTAGACCACTGAAGGGTCCTCGTTATGTAAAGCCTGTGGGGCACTCGGGGCTACAATGGCCCTTTTGTGTGGTCTCGCTGAGAGGAAGAGCTGCAGGCGAACACTGTGTGTGTGCCCCGTATCACACCCATTCACTGGAACACACTGTGTCAAATTACCAAAACTAACATTCACATAGAGGCAAACTGTGCCAAACTGATAATGCTAGCCAGGGTGCTGCCTCTCCAAGCCAACATCAGCCCCAGGCCACCACCTCACCATCCCATAGCCAGAGCCTCTAGCTTTAACCATCACAATTAGCACAGCAATAAATGGATATTGCCCGAAGAACCCCAATTTCAATTTCTGGCCATCTCTAATCTAAACTGACTGTGGGTTTCAAAGAACGACACTTTCAGGGAACGAGTCTGAAACTGAATATATGCTTGCAGAGTCAGTGGTTGTGGCCATAGAATTACTACAGAATGGAATTATAATTATGTTCGTTGTGCCCCACTGTGCCACAGAGAGGAGATGAGAGCAGAATACCATAGAAATAGATTTACTTCTATTACTTCAATTTCTATACAGAAAACTGCAGCGAATAGACATTCTGCCACAGGACATGGAGTGTTACAAAGTCAACAGCGCCAATAGTAAAGAAGGCACCAGTCAACTGTCCACAACAGCAGTCTTCTTTCAGCCATTTAGCCAGGGTTAATGACCTGAGAAAACACGTCACACAGCTCTTGAGTCACTGTTCAACAAGCATGTCACACACACACACACACACCAGCCTGAAGTGCTCAACAAGCATGTCAGAGCATCGACAGTGATCCTTTTAGTTCCACCAAGGATGGGCCGGCATCAACCCTCTCACTAGTCTAAATCTCTAGAAAGCAACTTAGAGAGCGCATGGATGGACTACTGAGGGAGGGATGTAAGGGAGGGTCGTCTAGGACTTCTAATGTCAGGGGTTAGGGAGACATGTCTATTAGTATTAAATGTGTGAACCTGAGCCACACACACACACACACACACACACCAGAGTATGTGAGTGGAGCGGAGCTGGAGCGGAGCATGCCCAATTTGACTGGAGCCCAGAGCGAGATTCCCAAAGTCTGGAGCTTCGGCCTTCTCATGTGCTCCAATAGCGCTCACTTCACTAGCTCTGGGTATGCCCGGCCCAGCATGCATTTGTAGTCTACTTGTGTGTTGCTATAGCCCCTTGCTTTAGCTACTGTCATGGAGTTTGCTAAATATTTTCATAAAGAAACTGATAAAACACACAGGTGCTAAATCAAGGTGACTTACAAAGATGAGGACCAAGAGCAAGAGAGGGAGTGCGGTGATGTAGTGTCCACAACTAAAGAATCATTGTGGAATCTAAAAAGACATGTATCCCGAAAGCATGATGATGTTCTTCCTACTGTACGTGCACATGCTAGAAGAAATGAACGAGGTGGGTAGATAACTGTGTCAATGTAGCAAAGTATTTATAAACTAAAAATCTGATATCTTAAAAGTTTCCTTCATTTTTGTTCTATTATCTATACAATAGGCCTGGTATATTCCAACTTTCAAAGAGCTTTCTGTTTTGATTGGGTTATTTTGCCTACCTATAGAAAAAAATATATATATATATAATAACAATAATAATAATAATAATAATAATAATAATAATAATAAACTCTGCGTCTCTGCCCAGCCTGGCAAGAGTGGCAAAAAGGGTGTTTATCAAGAGTGGCTCTGCAAACACGGAGAGGATATTCTCGGCTGCTGGCCTGCTCTCCAGGCACCATCACATGAGCCTGAAGCCACAGACTCTGGCCAAACTGGTTTCTAAAAATGAATTCAAAGTCATTTTTCGTTTCATTTGTATTTAATTCTAAGTAAGTCACAGCCCACATGCGCAATTTATAGACTATAATTATTTAATACAACAAAATGTTGTTTAAATGGTGAGGGCTTTGTGTCCCTACTAGCCTATTGTGTCGCACTGCAAATGCTTCACAATTGAAATACAGTGCCTTGCAAAAGTATTCATCCCCCTTGGCGTTTTTCCTATTTTGTTGCATCACAACCTGTAATTTAAATGGATTTTTATTTGGAGTTCATGTAATGGACATCCACAAAATAGTCCAAATTGGTGAAGTGAAATGAAAAAAAAAAAAAATTATACAAAATAAATAACGGAAAAGTGGTGCGTGCATTTGTATTCACCCCCTTTGCTATGAAGCCCCTATATAAGATCTGGTGCAACCAATTACCTTCAGAAGTCACATATTTAGTTAAATAAAGTCCGTTTTTCATCAGCAGGGACTGGGAAACTGGTCAGAATTGAAGGAATGATGGATGGCGCTAAATACAGGGAAATTCTTGAGGGAAACCTGTTTCAGTCTTCCAGAGATTTGAGACTCAGACTCCTCCTCTTCCTCCAATAGACAGACAGGCCAGTCCCAGGGCCTCTCTGATCAATATTTCAACTGACAAGCCCTGAACAGAGTGGGTAAACTAGGTGGGGTAATGGGGGTGAAAGGGACAAGGGACAAACAAGTACAGGATCCTGACCAGGTATCAGTACAGTATCATCTCCATACTATTTCACAACCTTCATTACTTCTAAGACTCTTTCCCAACACCAGATTACCTATTGATCACTCCACATCCATTCACAGCTCCATCAATCTATACTGTAAACTGACTGACTGACTGGCTGGCTGGCTGATTGGCTGGCTTGCTTGTTGGCTGACTGAAGGAGATGGCATGTGAGTCAGTGGGCATGTTCTATTGGCTTCTATACAAGTGGCACTTAGCAGTGAGGAAGCTGCAGTGTCTACCTCTCCTTTCATCCAGGCCAGCCCAGGGTCGAGACATTCCTAACCCTCAGCTCTCCTCAATCTGTCTCTGCCTGGTCTGGAGACATGCCTAGACATGATCCTGTCCTAATTCTCCTCCTGGACTGTGTCACAAATGGCACCCTATTCAGTGCACTACTTTTGACCAGGGCCCATATGGCTCTGGTCAAAAGTAGTGAGCTAGGGAATAGGGTGCCATTTTCTGGAGCATGGTTTCCATGTGTTTGATGCCATTCCATTTGCTCCATTCCAGCCATTATTATGAGCCGTCCTCCCCTCAGCAGCCTCCACTGGTGTAGGCCGTTGTTTGCAGTCTTCGTAGAGAAAGGGGGACATGTCAAGAGGCAGAGTGGTGAGCAAACAGACCCAAACACTGGCAGCATGTGCTACACACACAGGAGGATGAACGAACAACACTAGCAAACAGATACAGACTAGCTCATGTACGCATGCATACTAATGACTGTATATATGAATGGACAAAGCCATCGATCACGTGACACCAGTGGAGGATGATGAGGGGAGGACGGCTCATAATAATGTCTGGAACAGAGCAAATGGAATGGCATCAAACACATAGAAACCATGTTTGATGTATTTGATACCATTCCACTGATTCCGCTCTAGCCATTACCACAAGCCCGTTCTCCCAAATTAAGGTGCCACCAACCTCCTGTGCATGACACCGTTCATTCCTATGTGAAGACTCAATAGCGCATTGAAGCCAAATGAAGTTGGTTAAGATGGCGTCTCATGGACACATACTGTAACATACGCAGTTTGAGCTACTCCAGGAAGTGACGTTGCAGGCTAGCTCAGCGCTGCCACTCTCATTGACTAACTCAAATTGACGGCTGTCCGGGGGTAATGCAGGCTGCCATTAGCAACTCAACTACCCTTATACATTTGCAGCCAAATATATTTGCACCCTTGCACTTTTCTTAAATAATTCCCTATTTCTTCTAAAATAAGTTATTGGATTTTCAGCATTGCAGAACCAATTTTATTTTTGTAAAGTTTACCATTTTTATTTAGAAAATAAATACACAATTATTGGTAACCCAGAGCTTGTAGTTGGTTGCACAGCCGTTGGCCAAGCTAACTGCCAACAAATGCTTATTGTAGCTATAATGAGCTTGGTGCACCTTTCTACTGGCAATTTGGTCCACTCTTCAGCAGCAAACTGCTCTAATTATTCAATGTTTGAGGGGTACCCTTCACCAACTGCTGTTTTCAGCTCTAGCCATAGGTTATGGATGTGATTCAGATCTGGACTCTTCACTGGCCATTCCAGCATTTCATCTTGAACCATTACAGGGTGATTTTTATGTGTGTTTGGGGTTGTTGTCCTACTGGAAGACCCACAACCTTCAACAGAGACAGTTTTTGGACACTGGGTTGAACATTGACTCCAAAACACCTTGATAATCTGCTGATTTCATAATGTCTTGAACACATTCAAGGCATCCAGTACCAGAGGTAGCAAAGCAACACCACAGCATTATCGAACCTTCCCATACACACACTAGCGCGAAAACACACATGCACACATACACAAACTAGCACGTTCAAGCGTACAGAAAAACACACACACTACTATTAACAACATACAGTCTAATATTTCAATTCTGTTAACTGCCACCAATAGCCTATACTGCAAGGATATTATACTTTCTTCAATAACATCAAGAATCACAATCCAGGAATGAAAAGTGATAAGTGATGGGGCTAGTGCAGGGGTGGGCAAACATTGGGGCCACATTGAGTTTTTGAAACCAAGTGAAGGGCCACACACTATACGCGTGACAAAACATGTGAAGCCTTTATTCATTTTCACATTGACACGCAACTACTAGTGTACTGTAGGTGTACATATGCTTGCAGAATAATTATACCCTTGTACCACTCTACCCTTGTTTTTTGTGAACAAAATTGTCACAAAATTGATATAATTTATAACATCACAGACACAGTCAAACACACACACAGATCCTGCATCTCTACCCTTGTAAAGTACAATCAAACTTACAGTCACAATATGCAAACTTAAAAAAATAAATATATATATATATATATATATATATATATATATATATATATATATATATATATACACAGTGGGGAGAACAAGTATTTGATATACTGCCGATTTTGCAGGTTTTCCTACTTACAAAGCATGTAGAGGTCTGTAATTTTTATCATAGGAGAGGGTTAATGTCTTTCTCTCCCAGTGGGTGAGCTGGGCTTATGGGTTGTGTTTGGGGTCACTGACACTGATTGGAGTTCAACTCTGATACGGCAATCTCTCTCTGTCTCTCTCTCCCTCTTTCTCTCTCTCCCTCTTTCTCTCTCTGTCTATCCCCCCCATCCCTCGATCCCTCTCTCTCCCACATACTCATCCTCCTCACCCTCTCTCTCCCACACTTATCGTCATCTCTCAATCCCTCCAGATGTGGAACATATGGCTATTGACTGGCTGACAGGAAACTTCTACTTTGAGGACAATGTGGACGATCGTATCTTTGTGTGCAACGTGGACGGCCAGACGTGCGTCACCCTGCTGGATCAGGAGCTCTACAACCCTAAAGGCATCGCCCTGGACCCCCTGATGGGGTGAAAACTACCCCACTAACAACCCCAGAGACCCCTAAATTAGTGACCTCAGAAGACCATTTGTTTACTTCCCCCTGGTCCTTCTGGTCAGATGAATGCTGACCCAGCCCTTAATCACTGAAAACACTTCCTCCTCTGATCACTTCATCTTGCTGACGGTGACACTTCAAAATAATTTGGTACATCCTGTATAGTTCCTTTTTACAAAGTGTCACTTCTCAGTTTTGGATGGCATCTCCTGGTGAAGGATGTAGACAACTACTTTACTAACCACACTCAAATATTAATTAAGGAAGTACAGGTAGTCTGATGGAATATACGGTCATTCCTCCCTTTCCTCTATCTAATCTTCCCACACACTCATGGTTTCTTCATCTTCTCTCTCTCTCTCTCTCTCCCCCTCTCTCCCTCTCCCCCTCTCCCCCTCGCTCCCTCGCTCCCTCGTTCCCTCGCTCCCTCTCCCCCCCTCCCTCCCATCTCTCCCTACAGGAAGGTGTTCTTCACAGACTACGGTCAGACTCCCAAGGTGGAGCGTTGTGACATGGATGGTCAGAACCGGACCAAGCTGGTGGAAAGTAAGATCGTGTTCCCCCACGGTATCACCCTGGACTTGGTCAACCGGCTGGTCTACTGGGCCGACGCCTACCTGGACTACATAGAGGTTATGGACTACGAGGGCAAGAACAGACACACCATCATACAGGGCCTGCTGGTGAGGAAATGAATGACTCAAGGAAGATATTCCATTAAAACAGATACAGACATAGACAGGCACGCACACACACAACCACCAACTCCGCCTGTGTGTCTGTTGTTCATTCTGTCAGATTGAGCATCTGTATGGGCTGACGATGTTTGAGAACTACCTGTACGCCACCAACTCAGACGAGGGCAATTTGAACCACGCTAAGACAAGCGTGATCCGTGTCAACCGCTTCAACTCCTCTGACTTCACGGTGGTGACCCGGGTGGACCGCAGCGCCGCCCTGCACGTGTACCATCAGAGACGCCAACCCCCAGGTAGGTACACACCCACAACCCCCATGTATTTACCCAGAACAGGCACTGCAGGTATGGGGCAATCGTTGCCGTGGAGGTTGGTATGTAGTGTGGTCAGGCTTTTGTTCCAGCCCGGCACGTGTACCACTAGAGACGCCAACCTCCATGTACAGTGGGGAGAACAAGTATTTGATACACTGCCGATTTTGCAGGTTTTCCTACTTACAAAGCATGTAGAGGTCTGTAATTTTTTATCATAGGTACACTTCAACTGTGAGAGACGGAATAAAAAAATCCAGAAAATCACGTTGTATGATTTTTAAGTAATTAATTTGCATTTTATTGCATGACATAAGTATTTGATCACCTACCAACTAGTAAGAATTCCGGCTCTCACAGACCTGTTCGTTTTTCATTAAGAAGCCCTCCTGTTCTCCACTCATTACCTGTATTAACTGCACCTGTTTGAACTCGTTACCTGTATAAAAGACACCTGTCCACACACTCAATCAAACAGACTCCAACCTCTCCACAATGGCCAAGACCAGAGAGCTGTGTAAGGACATCAGGGATAAAATTGCAGACCTGCACAAGGCTGGGATGGGCTACAGGACACTAGGCAAGCAGCTTGGTGAGAAGGCAACAACTGTTGGCGAAATTATTAGAAAATGGAAGAAGTTCAAGATGACGGTCTGGGGTTCAAGATCAAGATTAAGTTCAAGATGATCGGTCTGGGGCTCCATGCAAGATCTCACCTCGTGGGGCATCAATGATCATGAGGAAGGTGAGGGATCAGCCCAGAACTACATGGCAGGACCTGGTCAATGACCTGAAGAGAGCTGGGACCACAGTCTCAAAGAAAACCATTAGTAACACACTACGCCGTCATGGATTAAAATCCTGCAGCGCACGCAAGTTCCCCCTGCTCAAGCCAGCGCATGTCCAGGCCCATCTGAAGTTTGCCAATGACCATCTGGATGATCCAGAGGAGGAATGGGAGAAGGTCATGTGGTCTGATGAGACAAAAATAGAGCTTTTTGGTCTAAACTCCACTCGCCATGTTTGGAGGAAGAAGAAGGATGAGTACAACCCCAAGAACACCATCCCAACCGTGAAGCATGGAGGTGGAAACATCATTCTTTGGGGATACTTTTCTGCAAAGGGGACAGGACGACTGCACCGTATTGAGGGGAGGATGGATGGGGCCATGTATCGCGAGATCTTGGCCAACAACCTCCTTCCCTCAGTAAGAGCATTGAAGATGGGTCGTGGCTGGGTCTTCCAGCATGACAACGACCCGAAACACACAGCCAGGGCAACTAAGGAGTGGCTCCGTAAGAAGCATCTCAAGGTCCTGGAGTGGCCTAGCCAGTCTCCAGACCTGAACCCAATAGAAAATCTTTGGAGGGAGCTGAAAGTCTGTATTGCCCAGCGACAGCCCGAAACCTGAAGGATCTGGAGAAGGTCTGTATGGAGGAGTGGGCCAAAATCCCTGCTGCAGTGTGTGCAAACCTGGTCAAGACCTACAGGAAACGTATGATCTCTGTAATTGCAAACAAAGGTTTCTGTACCAAATATTAAATTCTGCTTTTCTGATGTATCAAATACTTATGTCATGCAATAAAATGCAAATTAATTACTTAATCATACAATGTGATTTTCTGGATTTTTGACAGACCATAAAAAAGTATTTAGTCAGCCACCAATTGTGCAAGTTCTCCCACTTAAAAAGATGAGAGAGGCCTGTAATTTTCATCATAGGTACACGTCAACTATGACAGACAAAATAAGAAAGAAAATCCCAGAATATCACAATGTAGGATTTTTTATGAATTTATTTGGTGTGTGGATAGAATTTACTAATGCCAGGATTTAGTAAACGAAGCAGAGAGATGTAGTGAGAGCAGTGGAAGGGATACCCCACCCTAAGACGGGGGTACACTAGTTCAGAAGAGATATGGAAGGGCTGACCGCCAGCTTTAAGCTGAATACAGGGGAACTAGAGAGGGCAGTCAGACAGATAGTGTTAAAGGACTGGGCGGCAGTGAGAGGAAACTGGGTTCACGGAGATGGGAATGCGCTGGTTCTAGAGTGGGCAGAAGGAGGGGCTTATGGAGATAAATTGGCACAACTTTGTGATAATCTAAGAGAATAAATCAAATATAATGTCTTACTTACACAGAATATGTGATTGTATTGGCTAATGAATGAAATATGAAATTTACAGGGGCGACAGGAACAATAGAAGGGGAGACAGATTTTCCTATGGTGTTGATCAAATAATTGATAATGGATCATTTGAGATGAGATCACATGGAGTAGATTTAGGGGTTCAATAATCATTGTGAGATTTAAAGAGGATATGATCTGAAGGGTAATCAATTAAACATAATCATTGTATACTCGAGGAATTTTGAGTGGTTTTATGGATTAGTTATGAGGAATTAGATTGATACAAACAATTATTGATAAGTTAGGACTGGGGATATCTGTATCATGTTTTGTGTGTACTTACCATCTTTAGATTACTGATGGTAATTGAAGGTTAACAAAATGAATAATTTCTCTTCCAGGAGATAGAGATTCGCTTATCTCATTGGAATGTTGCCCAGGGATATGGGGAGCAGTTTAGTGGAGTTAGGCAGTATTTAGGTCATAAAAGTGAGCTACCAAATTATGTGGGGCCTGGCTATTTTTGGTTGTTGTTTTTCAATTGGGTTTTTCAAATAAAAAACAACACACCTAGTATGATGTTTATAAAGGATTGTTATTTTGATTTTAGGGGGTTTTCAACAGGTCAAAGGTGATAAGTCTTAAAGGAGCACACAGTGAATTTTATGGAGTTTTTCGGTTTTGACTGAGTTTAGGGTATACATGATTTCTTATGAGAATAAATGTCATGAGGACTTAATGAACACTTGGGATAAGTAACATTTATGAAATATTTAGGATGATGGTAATGTTTAGTATACTATGGGATGGAACAGTTCGTTGAATGATTTCAATGGCCTCTGAACTCTGTTTTGACTTTCTGGTGTGAATTGATCATCCACACCGGTAAATTCTAAAGGCATGAGAGGAGGACTTTAAGATAGTTTATTTTACCAAGTTGAGGGTAATTTATTGTACTGTGAAAAGTGTGAAGAACTTTATAATTTGGTAATAATATATATGATTCGAACCATAAAATAACAGAAGAGAGAGCTTTCCCTGAATGAGGGATACCTGTTGCTAGTAAATTGAACTAATCTTGGATTACTTTTACGGGATTGAAGTAAGTTGAGGTATTATCAAATGTTGTCAGCAGGGTTAAAACACTTCTCTGGTCCCAGTCAGTTGTCAAAAGAGGAAGTTTCGATAGATAGAGATCTACTTATAGAGAGCTACAGTAGGGCCCCAATTAAGGAAGTTCACAGATGGGTGAAGCAAGGCGCAGTAAATAAGGAAGGAATATGGGTAAAAGATTCTGCTTATAAATTCTCCCGAAATTACTGTTTAGATATGCTGCAATATTGACACACGGGCAGAGCCATGTGTCAACGGGAGGGATGGATGGTAGAGCAGATTAGACAACACTTTGTTGCATATGGGATTACTAATTATTTTACACAAAAAAAACTTTTGTTCAAAATGTGTTATCTGTGCTCAAAATAATCACCAGGGCAGACAAAGGGCACCTCAGGGTGAGTATCCTCCGGCTAAGTACCCCTTCCAGCAATTGGAAATTGATTTTATAGAGTTATCACGGAGTGAAGGGAAGAAATTTAGAGTAACCCCAGATAAAGATGGGTTATCCCCCTTTGAGAAAGTGTTTGAAACCAAAATACTGAAACCAAGAAAGACTATTGGGGGAATTATTATTTTAATAGTTAAAGTCAGTTTAGGACAAGATGGGGGATTCAAGATACCATTCGACTTCTCCCATGAAGAAATAGGTTTTGGGGGCTTTGGTAAGAAGGGGGCGTGTACAAGAAAGTTAGGTCCTAGAAGGTATGGTAAATACATTTGCACTGTGGAACGCTCATGTCCTTGGGCAATGGTGTTTAAACATACCTGGGGAACATACTATGAGAATGGAATGGAATGGCAGCACACCGATGGGGAATTAAACAAACCCATGATAAATGTAAAACGGAACTGGTGATAACGGTAAAGTCAATTATGCAAGATGATAAGCAAGGAACTATTGGGTCTGTGTTGATGATGTCGGGGCAAATACATGTGTGAGGCTAATTCTTCAGGAGAGAAATGAATCTTCCACCCCCGAGACAGAACAGCAGGTAGATCTAATGTTATAACCAGAGGTACCAAAAAACTAGTCTAATACTCATCGGAAGGCCCTCAGAATGAATCCTAAATAGCACTAAACCACCAAGGGTAGAATATTTCCTCTTGCAGGAAATGAACCAAGGAGAAGTAGAAGGAATTTCAAATGAGAACTTCTGGGTAAGGTGGATGAACTACACAGCTAGGGTGTTGGGTCAAACTAATTGTTATGCCTGTTCAACAGGTAGGCCAACCCTTCTAACTGCACCTATGCCTCAGACCATGTTCTCTTGTGTGATAGATTTGGGATCAAACCAAACCTCACCTAATTGTTCTGATATTAAAATAACCACTCTTAAAAAGGATAATACTAAGGCACCCCAATTCACCGTGAACCCCGGAGATTATCAATGTTATAGACACCAAAGTAATGCGAATCACAGATCAAATTGGAGAAGGGTTTACAACAACATTTTTCTGGTGGGTTACAATTGATACAAATGTTGACTGGATTAATTACATCTACAAAGGTTCGTTAATTAGACAAGGGATGCAGTGAAGAGAATCTCAGGCCAACTATCCGCCACCTCACTCATGAACTGCAGAATAGTTTGGTTCTCGAAATGCTTTTAGCAGAGAAGGGCGGATTTGCAAGATGGTGGGAGGTCATTGTTGTATGTTTACCCCCAACAATACAGCCCCAGATGGTACAGTAACTAGAGCACTGGCAGGTCTCACTGCATTAAGTAAAGAATGGGCTGAGAACTGGGGGGTGAATACATCAATGACTGGTTGGTTTGATAACATGTTTGGTAAATGGGAAACTATTGTTGTAACTATTTTAGGCGCGGCAATCGCGTCTATGGGTATGCTTGTTCTTTGTGGACGTTGTCTTATTCCCTGTGTCCGAGGGTTGGTGAGCAATGCGTTGGAGCATGCAGTATCACAGCAGATGGTGAGATACGGCCCAATCCCGGACTCCGACCTAAGGAATGAAGAATATGACCCACCAGGCTTGGTGGAGGATGACGACGATTCAGATAGTTTGAGACTGGATGTTTTCCTAGAACTATAAATCTCTAGTTTAAAAGTTATTGTAATGATCTTTTGTGTATTAAAGTATTGTTTTAAGTATGATGCACTAGTTAACCGATGTTGCAGGATGTGATGAAGCAAATGTTCTTCACTATAGGCTTAGACTGTTGTTTCCAGATAGTGGGGAAACAGGTTAGGTACCATTGCTAAATAATAATAATAATATGCCATTTAGCAGACGCTTTTATCCGAAGCGACTTACAGTCATGTGCGCATACATTTTTACGTATGGGTGGTCCCGGGGATCGAACCCACTAACCTGGCGGCGTTACAAGCGCCCTGCTCTACCAATTGAGCTACAGAGGACCACTAAAGAGTAATGTTACGCTTTTAATCATGGGGTAACCCTGATGAACCTGTATTGAATGAGACAATCTTTAATGTTTTTATATGCAAATCAACTTATATGCTTCAATGTGTGTGATTCATTTCTATAACAACATATATTTTGTGAGTATGTGTGTAATATTTAGTCAAAGGGTGGATTGATAGATTAATTATTCATGACTAATTATTACACCCTGAAACTGTGTGAAATGTGTTAGAATGTGTGAGAGTAGGACCAGTAAAGACTATGACATTGAGCTACTATTTAGCAATGTGAGTAAGGAGAGGAGTCTGGAGAGGAGAGGAGGAGGTTGTCGGGTGAGGTCGTCGGGTAAGCTTGGCTTTATACATAGTTTGGGCTTTGTCGAGTAAAGCTTAAACTATGTATTTAGATTGTAGTTAGGTGTTGTAGGTAGTTATCGTGGGTTGTTGTATGTAATTATTGTAGGTTAGTATTGTATTCGACTGAGCCCGGTGAAGCACGAAGCTAGCTAGCTAACCCACTACCTGGACTAGCTGGTGGGTAGCTACTGGCAACTATTAGCAACGGTATAGTTGTTTCACGCCTGAGAGTGCCTGTAATTACGCCAGCTGGCTGCCTACAATAATTACATACAATAATGCCTACCATTCAGCTGTTTTGTAACCTCATTGTCTGAACCGTTAACGTTAGGTAGTAAGTGGCTACTGTGCTTGAAATTTAGCTAGCTTGTTGCTACCTGGATAGCTACTAGTAAACAATAGTTGGAACGACCTAGCGAACAGACGCGAACTGGCTGAGTCAATTCAGTGGCTAGCTTTGCACTTGGCTAGCTAACAGTAGCTGCTAGGGGTAAGTTATAACCTACATTTACGTTTTGTTTTTACATATTGGTAGCAAGAGTCATTCAAGGAATTCGGGACATGGGTGACTAGTTAACGTTAGCTTGGCTCTCTCTGTGTGTTCGTGCCGTGAAAGGAGGGGTTTCTACTTTGTCTGAAAGCAATGGCTAGGTAGTATGCTAACTATTCTAGCTAACTAACTGGCTGAATAAGTTGACGACGGACTCGCTCAAGCTGTCGGGACTAACCCACAACGTTAGACACGGACACGAACAATCTGCATGGCGTGTTGACACACTGGTGGTTTGTTGTGGCCGAGTATTGGTGCTAAACCGTGTTGTTGGAGTCCGGCATGCTAGCTGGCTATGGCGTCTTATGACTAGGTGCCCTGGACGATTTTCACGGAAGAATACTGTACCAAGTTAGCTAGCTGAATAAACTAAGTAGGTCTATTCCTAGAAAACATTGAACTGCTGTAGTTTACAACAATTATAGTTTCTGAGGTGGAAGTTGGGAGAGTTATATTTGGGTGTTGTGGTGAGGGAGGCCCCGCTCTCTCCTTTCCTAGATGTTTAGTTCATTTCATTCCGATCTCCTTTGCATTATTGTAGCCATTTTCTGTAGCCTGTCAACTATGCCTCTGTCTATCCCTGTTCTCTCCTCTCTGCACAGGCTATACAAACGCCTCACACTGCATGGCTGCTGCCTCTCTAACCTGGTGGTCCCTGCACGCACCACCCACGTGGTGTTCCAGGTCTCAGGCAGCCTCTGGAACTGCCGTTCTGCTGCCAACAAGGCAGAGTTCATCTCAGCCTATGCTACCCTCCAGTCCCCCGACTTCTTGGCGCTGACGGAAACATGGATTACCACTGAAAACACTGCTACTCCTACTGCTCTCTCCTCGTCTGACCATGTGTTCTCGCATACCCCGAGAGCATCTGGTCAGCGGGGTGGTGGCACAGGAATCCTCATCTCTCCCAAGTGGACATTCTCTATTTTTCCCCTGACCCATCTGTCTATCTCCTCATTTGAATTCCATGCTGTCACAGTCACTAGCCCATTTAAGCTTAATATCCTTGTCATTTATCGCCCTCCAGGTTCCCTTGGAGAGTTCATCAATGAGCTTGACGCCTTGATAAGTTCCTTTCCTGAGGATGGCTCACCCCTCACAGTTCTGGGGGACTTCAACCTCCCTACGTCTACCTTTGACTCATTTCTCTCTGCCTCCTTTCCACTCCTCTCCTCTTTTGACCTCACCCTCTCACCGTCCCCCCCTACTCACAAGGCAGGCAATACGCTTGACCTCATCTTTACTAGATGCTGTTCTTCTACTAATCTCACTGCAACTCCCCTACATGTCTCCAACCACTACTTTGTATCCTTTTCTCTCTCGCTCTCCTCCAACACTACTCACTCTGCCCCTACTCAGATGGTAATGCGCCGTCGCAACCTTCGCTCTCTCTCTCCCGCTACCCTCTCCTCTTCCATCCTATCATCTCTTCCCTCTGCTCAATCCTTCTCCCTCCAATCTCCTGATTCTGCCTCCTCAACCCTCCTCTCCTCCCTTTCTGCATCCTTTGACTCTCTATGTCCCCTATCCTCCCGGCCGGCTCGGTCCTCCCCTCCAGCTCCGTGGCTTGATGACTCATTGCGAGCTCACAGAACAGGGCTCCGGGCAGCCGAGCGGAAATGGAGGAAAACTAGACTCCCTGCGGACCTGGCATCTTTTCACTCCCTCCTCTCTACATTTTCTTCATCTGTTTCTGCTGCTAAGGCCACTTTCTACCACTCTAAATTCCAAGCATCTGCCTCTAACCCTAGGAAGCTCTTTGCCACCTTCTCCTCCCTGCTGAATCCTCCCCCCCCCCCTCTCTGTGGATGACTTCATCAACCATTTTGAAAAGAAGGTTGACGACATCCGATCCTCGTTTGTTAAGTCAAATGACACTGCTGGTCCTGCTCACACTGCCCTACCCTATGCTTTGACTTCTTTCTCCCCTCTCTCTCCAGATAAAATCTTGCGACTTGTGATGGCCGGCCGCCCAACAACCTGCCCGCTTGACCCTATCCCCTCCTCTCTTCTCCAGACCATCTCCGGTGACCTTCTCCCTTACCTCACCTCGCTGATCAACTCATCCTTGACCGCTGGCTATGTCCCTTCCATCTTCAAGAGAGCGAGAGTTGCACCTCAAAAAACCAACACTCGATCCCTCTGATGTCAACAACTACAGACCAGTATCCCTTCTTTCTTTTCTCTCCAAAACTATTGAGCGTGCCGTCTTTAGCCAACTCTCTTGCACCCCAATGATGGAACAAGCTCCCTCACGACGCCAGGACAGCGGAGTCACTCACCACCTTCCGGAGACATTTGAAACCCCACCTCTTTAAGGAATACCTGGGATAGGATAAAGTAATCATTCTACCCCCCCTTACCCCACCACACCCCCCCCCAAAAAAAAACAAAAAACATTGTAAAGTGGTTATCCCACTGGCTATAAGGTGAATGCACCAATTTGTAAGTCGCTCTGGATAAGAGCGTCTGCTAAATGACGTAAATGTAAATGTAAGAGTTAGACCAGACAACAAAGGACAAGGAGAACTGTCTACAGACAACTGAGAAACCAAGATAAAGAGGCCTCCCAATTTAGGGAGGAGAGAAACTGTTAGGATTTTTAAGAAGTATGCAGGATATTGTGAGGACGGCGATAACTAAGGAATGCATGTGTGTGTGTATGTATGTGTGTGTGTATGCATGTGTGTGTATGTATGTATGTATGTACAGTGAGGGAAAAAAGTATTTGATCCCCTGCTGATTTTGTACGTTTGCCCACTGACAAAGAAATTATCAGTCTATAATTTTAATGGTAGGTTTATTTGAACAGTGAGAGACAGAATAACAACAAAAAAATCCAGAAAAACGCATGTCAAAAATGTTATAAATTGATTTGCATTTTAAATGAGGGAAATAAGTATTTGACCCCCTCTCAATCAGAAAGATTTCTGGCTCCCAGGTGTCTTTTATACAGGTAACGAGCTGAGATTAGGAGCACACTCTTAAAGGGAGTGCTCCTAATCTCAGTTTGTTATTACCTGTATAAAAGACACCTGTCCACAGAAGCAATCAATCAATCAGATTCAAAACTCTCCCCCATGGCCAAGACCAAAGAGCTCTCCAAGGATGAAAGGGACAAGATTGTAGACCTACACAAGGCTGGAATGGGCTACAAGACCATCGCCAAGCAGCTTGGTGAGAAGGTGACAACAGTTGGTGCGATTATTCGCAAATGGAAGAAACACAAAAGAACTGTCAAACTCCCTCGGCCTGGGGCTCCATGCAAGATCTCACCTCGTGGAGTTGCAATGATCATGAGAACGGTGAGGAATCAGCCCAGAACTACACAGGAGGATCTTGTCATTGATCTCAAGGCAGCTGGGACTATAGTCTCCAAGAAAACAATTGGTAACACACTACGCCGTGAAGGACTGAAATCCTGCAGCGCCCGCAAGGTCCCCCTGCTCAAGAAAGCACATATACAGGCCCGTCTGAAGTTTGCCAATGAACATCTGAATGATTCAGAGGAGAACTGGGTGAAAGTTTTGTGGTCAGATGAGACCAAAATCGAGCTCTTTGGCATCAACTCAACTCGCTGTGTTTGGAGGAGGAGGAATGCTGCCTATGACCCCAAGAACACCATCCCCACCGTCAAACATGGAGGTGGAAACATTATGCTTTGGGGGTGTTTTTCTGCTAAGGGGACAGGACAAATTCCCCGCATCAAAGGGATGATGGACGGGGCCATGCACCGTCAAATCTTGGGTGAGATCCTCCTTTCCCTCAGCCAGGGCATTGAAAATGGGTCGTGGATGGGTATTCCAGCATGACAATGACCCAAAACACACGGCCAAGGCAACAAAGGAGTGGCTCAAGAATAAGCACATTAAGGTCCTGGAGTGGCCTAGTCAGTCTCCAGACCTTAATCCCATAGAAATTATTTGAAGGAAGCTGAAGGTTTGAGTTGCCAAACGTCAGCTTCGAAACCTTAATGACTTGGAGAAGATCTGCAAAGAGGAGTGGGACAAAATCCCTCCTGAGATGTGTGCAAACCTGGTGGCCAACTACAAGAAACATCTGACCTCTGTGATTGCCAACAAGGGTTTTGCCACCAAGTACTAAGTCATGTTTTGCAGAGGGGTCAAATACTTTTTTCCCTCACTGTCTGTGTGTCTGTGTCTGTGTCTGTGTCTGTGTGTGTTTGTGTGTGTGTGTGTGTGTGTGTGTGCGTGTGTGTGTGTGTGTGTGTGTGTACTGATGGTCAGGAGAGCAGTTTTAAAGTGGAAAACTACAGCCCGCCTAAAGAGGGGAGGGATTTTTGTATGACGTGTGAGTATAAAAGATGGACTCTGAAATTGTGATGGCAGAATTCTCAATGAATAAATCTCTGACTATGCAGACCAGGACTCTGTCCGTTTCTTGATTTTGGGAGACGCACAGAGACACCGAAATTGTTTGTTAAATAATTCACATAACAGTTTCCATTGTGGAATGGGAGCAGAGATGAGCACTATGATACTACCCTGACCCCATTCTCTTTCCCTATCAATTAAACACTAGTGTTGAGATTATATGAGGGGCCTTGCCCCTTAACTGGACTCTTCAGTCCCCAGAGAGAAAGAGAAAGAGAGAGAAAGACAGAGAGAGAGACAGAAGGAGGAAGAGGAAGCAAGAAAGAGAGAGGAAGACAGAGAGAAAGAGACAGACACAAAGACAGACACAAAGACAGAGAGACAGAGAGACAGAGAGAGAGAGCGAGAGAGCGAGCGAGCGAGGGCTGCCGGAAGTTCTTTAACTCTGCAGAGATACAGTATGATCATCCCAGTGGCCCTAGCCTCAGCTGCACAGTAACACAGTAGGCAGGGCAAAACCTGGCTATCACCCACATATAATATAAACCCTTCCACTCCTCAACCTCCCACACCTAGCTCCACCATATTACCATGTCAATCAAATGTATTGTACTGCGATAACTTCCTCCCTTGCCTGCCTCCTACTCTGCCTCCCACGCTCCCCTTGTCAACAAGTTCTGGATAATTATCTGAACACACAGAATGACAAAGTGTGCTTTGACACATCAGCACCAGGCTAGGGTCCACTTGGCTTGCGCAAGCCGGCAGTTTGTTCCAGCAAACACTGGGATGCTTGTGAATGGTGAGGCTTTTCGTGAATTTGGCGGCTCACATGCAAACAACGTGGCAGCAGAAAGTTCCGGCAAACACACTGCCACTGGTGCGTGTGTGTGCTACTCCATCCTCACGGGGACAGATGGACCAGTGTGCTCGCCGGGGACAGGCGCTACGTGTCATGACTCGATGACATCATCGGCGGAACGTTGTGCAAGGCAGGGAATCAGTCCCTTTAACCTACTTCACACAAATGTCACTTCAACTCTCATCTTCCCCCACTTCTCCTCAATGTGTTCCTGCTATAATTCTAGTATGCAGAATTATAAACACATAAAACTAAAGCAGAATTATAAACACATAAACCTGAAGTAGAATTATAAACAAATAAAAAAAAACAGAATTATAAACACATAAAAGAAAAAATGATTCCAAAGAAAAATAAAGATAGAGCATATCTTTCTTTGTATAAGATAGCTAGGACTTTGTGCACTTGGCAGTTCTAATGTGTACTGGTCTTTTCCAGAGCCTGTTCTTGTTCTAGGACTTTGGTCTTCTAAAGAAAACCGCAGAGACCTGTTTGTTTGGCGTCAATATTTGTTGTTGGGGAACGCACCAAACCAACAAAAACATGTCCCAATATAATACAAACACCAGGACATCAAAAATGTGTTGGACTAATATCACTCAATCTCAGCTTTATGAATCCACTGTTCTCTCTCTTTATCTTCCCAGTTCCCCCCAAACTGTCATCTCTTCTCTGTCCAATAAACACTGTCTTCTTCCATCAGCTGCTTTAATGAGATGGCCTCCGTTATCACAATGGCTCCTCTTCTCTCTCTCTTCTCTCTGGGAAAAAGTCATTCATTTATCAATCAGGCCCTAGAGGCTCTGAAACAGTCCAGGCTCTGAGGCCACTTCCCCGGCTCTGGCAGGCAGAGCAGAGCATTTATCCAGACAGCCAACCAGGCCAATAGAAAAGGAGGAGAATCCCATCATCAAATCCAATCCCTGATATTAATTAGAGTCACAGAGAGGAGGACATTGAGGCTTCTCATTGTGGAACCAGACAAAAGAGCCCAGCCACACAGAGGGGACATATTGGCTGTGTCTGAAATATCATCCTATTTCCTGGCCAAAAGTAATACACTATATAGGGAAAAGGTTGTCATTTCAGACAGCTATTGAGTCCATAGTGTCGCATTGTGGAACCAGACAAAAAAGGTGCAGTGTCACTGGCTGCAACAGGATTGGCTGGTCCAGTGTTCTGTAGGAACTAGGAAGGACCCCAGAAAGCAGCTGCCCGAGCTGTGTGTGTGTGTGTGTGTGTGTGTGTGTGTGTGTGTGTGTGTGTGTGTGTGTGTGTGTGTGTGTGTGTGTGTGTGTGTATGTATGTGTGGGCGTCTGTGTGAGCATTAATACTTTCATGCATGTGTTACCTCGACAGTGTGGCCCCTCGTCCCAGCCATCAGTGCAGTCAGGGCTCCCATCACACAGCCTTCTCATGTGGATACACACATCTGTCCCCAGACACTCAAACTCATTGGCCGGACACCGGGACACTCTGTGTGGACCTACAACAAAACACACAGCAGAAAGACACACACATTAGTCTGAGATCAAATGTACCACAGAAACGAGTAAAAGTCGTAGGATGGCACCCTACAAACATGACTGCACTTACAAATATCAGCATATCAGCTCCAACACATCCTAAATGGCCAGATACAAACGAATCAGTGACTTTAAAACAACTTTTTATTCACACCTGACCAAAAGCCTGTGAGTGAGGGATTCATTTCCACAGCCTGGGTGATGTTTTCAAATGTTTTCAAAAGACGAGAACATCTTTAAAGGGTAAATCAGAGTGTCAGTCAGCCTCAGACAGAGACTGTTATAGAGAAATGTTCAGTGTTATCTGTCCTGCCAGGCTGCAGCCTCACCATTCATTGGCCATGCTGTGATAAGTAGTGGACTGACGGCAGTGTATTGGGCCGGCAGGACAGGGCAGAGGCAGCTAGCTGTTTGTGTTTCCTTTGTCCAGACTTAGGCCACGAGCTGACCCTACAGAACAGCTCAGTATATTGCTTACAGGTCTTTGTGTTGCCACGGCGCTGTGGGGATCTTAGGCCTCCTAACTAGGCTTCTAGGCATTGGACAATATATTTTTTTCTGCACTTCAACAGAAAATAAACATTCCCGGTTCCCGCAAGCACACACACGTGCACACGCTAAGTTAGAATTCAAACCACATCCCTAACAACGAACATCAATAAACGCTTGTTGTATGGGACCAAAGTCCTGTGTACAGGGAAACACTCTGAATAAATAACTCCATTTCAGACAGGAACCATGTCAGCTCGACAAAAAACTTGTCACATGCCAAATAAAGAAAAATGAAATCAAAGCAGTGACAAAACACTATTTTCCATTACAGCCAGCAATGCTAGAGAATACCAAGTGGTCTCTCCCTCTTCCTCTCCAGAAAAAAACAAGGATTTCTCATCTGTCGCTCCCTCTCTCTCTTTTTGCCCCCCTCTCTCTCTCTCTCTCTCTACCCACGCTACAAAGCAAACTGTTTGTCTTGGCTGTTTTTCCTCTTCCTCCTCCTCTCTCTTCCTCCTTTTCTCTCTCTTATAACAGCTGCTGACCCATTTTAGACAAGCTACAAGAGAGTGAGAGAATGAGAGAGAATGACAGAGAGAAAGAGAGATGAAAGAGAAAGCTTTACCTCCTGCACAGGAGAAGAAGAAAACATTAGCGTTGGAGTGTTTTGCAAGGTTTGGATTTCATAAGAATACTTGAAGTTTCTTAATGTGTACTTTTCTTGAGGTGAGGTCAAGTACAACCAGGTGTTTGAAGTTATAACAAAAACTAACATCATAGACTAGCCAAGCCTACTGCAGAGAGTAAGACCTGCATGGGTTATAGTGGTATTATACGCTGTGTCTCCCCAAGGTAAATTCATTCTCAAGTCACAATGCAATAACAGATCCTTCTAACAGATTATCTGTCATAGACAGTGGATAAGAACTGCTACAAGTGCCCGAGGACATCACTAGTAGCCAGTCTGAAATTCATCCTTTTCATTTACAAGGCTTTACAACATTCATGGAGAGTTCTCGGTCTATTATACCTACAGCCACCACAGAAACGTCTATGTAGTCACATCTCACAGCCACTGTGCCTCCACCACAGAAACGTCTATGTAGGCTCTGCTCTACTTCAGTGTAGTACTACACCTGGCTCAGCACCAGTTCCGCAGGTACCAGAGCCTTTAGATATAATGAAATACCTCAATAGTATTGATATGTAGTGTATTTGAATATAGATGCAGTTCTACAACAGTAATGCACCGGGCTCAGCAGTGGAACAGCAAGTAGTCTTATTTAGACATAATAGAATAGCTCAACATAAATCTCTGCAGGTTGACTAGTCACTCCAGGGGATACTGCCTCATACCCAGACCTCCCACAGTCTTGTCCTCTCAAAGCTCCTGCTTTACATTCAATCAACTCTGAGCCTAGCTATTTCACAATAAACTGCAGGACATGGCATAAACTAGCTAGCCCATAGAACTGATCGGTTTGGCAACACTCCAAACCCAGTGCTGGACACATTGTTTATTTACTGTTGTCCCAAACAGTTGTCCATTGAAATCAAAAGGAAAGGCCTAGGAAGTACTCGATATAGAGGGTAATAACAAATGTAAATTTACGTAAATGTAAATGTAATAACAATTTCATAACCCTTTCTAAGCCCGAAAGGTCTGTGTAAGACCTAAGAGTTGCAGGAGGAAAGTAAACCGAAAGGACAATGAGGAATTGAATAGCAGGGAGTGGGACACAGACAACCATACCGGATTACACAGTGACTTTAAGAGGAGGATAATAACAGTGGACTCTGGCCTCTCTGTTATAGTCTGGGAAGTTGTTGGCTGTCTATTGAGTGACACAGACAGACTCTCCCACACCAAACAGGCTACGGCTGCCTAGTGACTTCCTTCTTGATCTGTCAGTGGCACTGGTCAGCACATTGCTGTGCAGCACAGTCAAAGAGAGACAGAGAGACTGATCGAGAGCTTCCGGCCTTGCCTTCCGCCGCCTCTGTCTCTATAAAAACACTGTTCTGGTTCGAAGCCAAGATAAACATTTCCTACAATATCCAAGTGATAAAAAAATGGCTATATTCCTTATAACATCCTGGTATCAATTAACATAATGTGATTTCTGAGACTATTTTCTCTCTGAATGTTGTATAGCTCTTGCATCCAAATGAACAACAATTACAGATTCATGATAAACATTAAAACAAACCTGAGGTAATTCAGTCTTTGTAATTGCTTTTTAATCTCAGCAATAAAAGGAATTCATCACGGAGTTCAGCTTAATAGAAAATGGTGATGAATAATATGTAATCAGCATATTCACGTCTTTAGGTGCTTCAGTACAATGGTGTAATAGAAATACAATATTAGACAGGGGAGGTGTGATCACTGCACAATACACATTGTTTTATTCACAATCCATTTCTGTAACTAATTATTCTCCATTCCATTTCAATAGCATAAAGTTGTACGTGTGTGTGTGTGTGTGTGTGTGTGTGTGTGCGTGCGTGTGATTGTGCATGCGTGCGTGTGAGTGCAGGCGTGGCAGCCTGATCCTTGGAGAAAGACAAAGTGGTGAGTGAGAACAATGTATGGAGTGTATCGTAGCAGTATGGAGTGTATCGTAGCAGTATGGAGCGTATCGTAGCAGTATGGAGCGTATCGTAGCAGTATGGAGCGTATCGGAGCAGTATGGAGCGTATCGTAGCAGTATGGTGCGTTTCGTAGCAGTATGGAGTGTTTCGTAGCAGTATGGAGCGTATCGTAGCAGTATGGAGCGTATCGTAGCAGTATGGAGCGTATCGTAGCAGTATGGAGCGTATCGTAGCAGTATGGAGCGTATCGTAGCAGTATGGAGCGTATCGTAGCAGTATGGAGCGTATCGTAGCAGTATGGAGCGTATCGTAGCAGTATGGAGCGTATCGTAGCAGTATGGAGCGTTTCGTAGCAGTATGGAGCATATCGTAGCAGTATGGTGGGTTTCGTAGCAGTATGGAGTGTTTCGTAGCAGTATGGAGTGTTTCGTAGCAGTATGGAGTGTATCGTAGCAGTATGGAGTGTTTCGTAGCAGTATGGAGCGTATCGTAGCAGTATGGAGCGTATCGTAGCAGTATGGAGCGTATCGTAGCAGTATGGAGCGTATCGTAGCAGTATGGAGCGTTTCGTAGCAGTATGGAGCGTTTCGTAGCAGTATGGAGCGTATCGTAGCAGTATGGAGTGTATTGTAGCAGTATGGAGCGTATCGTAGCAGTATGGAGCGTTTCGTAGCAGTATGGAGCGTTTCGTAGCAGTATGGAGCGTATCGTAGCAGTATGGAGCGTATCGTAGCAGTATGGAGCGTATCGTAGCAGTATGGAGCGTATCGTAGCAGTATGGAGCATTTCGTAGCAGTATGGAGCGTTTCGTAGCAGTATGGAGCGCATCGTAGCAGTATGGAGCGTTTCGTAGCAGTATGGAGTGTATCGTAGCAGTATGGAGTGTTTCACACATGGAGAGCTACTGAGATAAATTACATCTCCAATACCCATCACTGCTCCCAATGAGGGATAATTACATACATCTAATGAACTCCCTTATCACCTAATGGTGATGATACTAAATGGAAGGGGAGGGTATCCTCGCTGTTTCTTTAGAGATGTTAATGGCTATGGTCTATAGATCCAGTCCAATGTTAGGATATCTGTTTCATTCTAC